GATGGTAGAATTGACAGAGAAATAGAAACCAGATGTCAGAAAGCAAGTGCACTTATATACCACTTGTCACCATTAAGACATCCAACCATAACTTGGATAAAGTGGTTTATGATGATGATGATGATGATTACTTTTGACTTTGTGTCAAGAAACTTATCATAACATGGAAAATCCTGACAGGAAACATGAACTTGGCAAACATGTCTGGCGTGACTGTTACAGCAATTGACACAAACAGAATACTTTTTGTATCTTCTATTTCCACATGAATCGTTTACTCTAAACCACTTCATGCCAAGTCATCCTATCCTTTTTTTTTATGTTAGATGCTGCTCACCTCATGTTCTCCCTTTCTTCACTTTTTCACTAAGTCCTTTTCTCTTAAGTCAAATGTCGTCTTCACAACACCGGGTTTAATCTCACGTGGAGCGGTCTGTGTCAGCAGAACGTCTGGTAGCCCTTGTTTGTATCTGCCTTTATCAATTTTACCCTGTGGGCTCCAGTGTAAGAGTATTCGGGTGATGATACTGTTGCCAGGTTTTACAGCAGTATTTGTCGGAACAAAGAAACAGAACTGGTCTATGGAACTTGGCTGACACAATACAGATTTCAACCAACAGGTAGCATCTACAACATGTAGCACCTACAACATGTAGCACCTACAACATGTAGCACCTACACCTTGTAGCACCTACAAAATGTAGCAACTACAACATGTAGCACCTACAACATGTAGCACCTACAACATGTGCAGCCTTTTTTTTTTCAAACTAGCAGTCTAAAGCATACAGAAAACATCAATTTACTATAACAACAACCCGGACTATATATAGCAGTTAGCGTCTTCTGATGCCGACAGTTCCAGCAATTTCTGGTAAAGAACGCTAGAGTGGAAAATCGAATATGTCGGAGAACAGTTTTCGAACGTTAATTTGATTTCAAGTGTCTGGGGAGAAACAGGCACAGACTTATGGGCTATGTATTGGTATAGCAGAATCAGTGCGATCGGCACCAGCTATCTAAAAGTGTTGTTGTGTGTGGGTTTAAGTGAGTTATAGGACGTATAATACTGGGACAATATGGCTGTAAGTAGCTTCATGTTCATAAGATCAATGCTGCGTGTATATTATCTTGCCCGAGTAAAACTTGCACGAAATGCTTAATTAATAACCATGGACAACAGGTTTAAATAAATCTATATAGTGGGGTATGTCGGAGATCAATAGACATTGTCTTCTTCTTCTTCTGCCTTTCTATCCCCCAATGGAGCATAGGCCCTCAACCAACTCACGCCAAGTCGTTCTATCCTTCGCCATTACCTGGAGCTCTCCCCATGTCCTCCCAATCTTTCTAACCTCATTCTCCAGCTCTCTTCTCCATGTGTTTTTTGGCCTTCCTTTATTCCTATGCCCCTGTGGGTTCCAATGCAAAGACATTCTAGTAATGCTGTTCTCCTGTTAATAGACATTGTGCACATGTGTAAATTTCAAACTCTGGCTCCTGGTAAAAATGCATTCTTCTGGTATTCATTCTAATTTAGCCATCTTAGACAAATGTTATTGACTCTGCACTTCCTTTCTTTGTGAATTCATTCCCCTCCAGGTGACCACACAACAGCAATGAACTTGGTCTGTTGCATAAAAACATGCAATACCCCAGTCTCCCCCCCCCCACCCAACCCCCTTTTCTTTCCCGCTATACTTGATTTCCCAGGCACCTGTCTGTACTTCAGATCCACCGCTGTCGACAATCAATCCGTGACAACTCTCCATCTGTGATCTTCAAAGAGTTACTCCAGACAGTAGTCATTTTCTGGTTCCATAAATGTCTCGGGGGGAGGGGGGGGGGGAGTGTTTAAGAGATGCGTACTTTTTAAATTCTAGGTACAAGAATCTCTCAAAGGGGATGTTTGAATAAGGTGGTAAGAAATGACCCGCAGTCTAGATGGAGCTGTTGGTTAATCTGTAGGACCACAACTTATGCAGTCTACCTTGAGCTGTCTGTTAATCTTTAGGACCACAACTTATGCAGTCTACCTTGAGCTGTCTGTTAATCTGTAGGACCACAACTTATGTAGTCTACCTTGAGCTGTCGGTTAATCTTTAGGACCACAACTTATGTAGTCTACCTTGAGCTGTCGGTTAATCTGTAGGACCACAACTTATGTAGTCTACCTTGAGCTGTCGGTTAATCTTTAGGACCACAACTTATGCAGTCTACCTTGAGCTGTCGGTTAATCTTTAGGACCACAACTTATGTAGTCTACCTTGAGCTGTCGGTTAATGTGTGCGACCACAACTTATATAGTCTACCTTGAGCTGTCGGTTAATCTGTAGGACCACAACTTATGTAGTCTACCTTGAGCTGTCGGTTAATCTGTAGGACCACAACTTATGCAGTCTACCTTGAGCTGTCGGTTAATCTGTAGGACCACAACTTATGTAGTCTACCTTGAGCTGTCGGTTAATCTTTAGGACCACAACTTATGTAGTCTACCTTGAGCTGTCGGTTAATCTTTAGGACCACAACTTATGTAGTCTACCTTGAGCTGTCGGTTAATCTTTAGGACCACAACTTATGCAGTCTACCTTGAGCTGTCTGTTAATCTTTAGGACCACAACTTATGCAGTCTACCTTGAGCTGTCTGTTAATCTTTAGGACCACAACTTATGTAGTCTACCTTGAGCTGTCGGTTAATCTGTAGGACCACAACTTATGTAGTCTACCTTGAGCTGTCGGTTAATCTTTAGGACCACAACTTATGTAGTCTACCTTGAGCTGTCGGTTAATCTGTAGGACCACAACTTATGTAGTCTACCTTGAGCTGTCGGTTAATCTTTAGGACCACAACTTATGCAGTCTACCTTGAGCTGTCGGTTAATCTGTGGGACCACAACTTATGTAGTCTACCTTGAGCTGTCGGTTAATGTGTGCGACCACAACTTATATAGTCTACCTTGAGCTGTCGGTTAATCTGTAGGACCACAACTTATGTAGTCTACCTTGAGCTGTCGGTTAATCTGTAGGACCACAACTTATGCAGTCTACCTTGAGCTGTCGGTTAATCTGTAGGACCACAACTTATGTAGTCTACCTTGAGCTGTCGGTTAATCTTTAGGACCACAACTTATGTAGTCTACCTTGAGCTGTCGGTTAATCTTTAGGACCACAACTTATGTAGTCTACCTTGAGCTGTCGGTTAATCTTTAGGACCACAACTTATGCAGTCTACCTTGAGCTGTCTGTTAATCTTTAGGACCACAACTTATGTAGTCTACCTTGAGCTGTCTGTTAATCTTTAGGACCACAACTTATGTAGTCTACCTTGAGCTGTCGGTTAATCTGTGGGACCACAACTTATGTAGTCTACCTTGAGCTGTCGGTTAATCTTTAGGACCACAACTTATGTAGTCTACCTTGAGCTGTCGGTTAATCTGTAGGACCACAACTTAGTAACCTGGAGGAGTTTTATCTCTGATTGCTTTGACAATGTCATTCAATCTGAGATCTGTTTTGAGTTTGCAGAAGTATGTCTGACAGTTGCCGCTGCTGGCTCTATCGACAGAAGTAACGTAGGAATACATGCTATTTATAATTGTATCTGTCAGAAAGTCTACCTGCTTGTGGTGTGTGTATGTGTGCGCGCGCGTGTGTCCGTCAGCTTTACTGTTGGTACATTTACTTATGTCTGCGTGTGCGCTTGTGTCCTTGTCAACATAACTACACTAAACTGTACAAATAACAGACAACAATGACGTTAATGTTAAAAATGTTTGAAAAAGCAAATTGCGTTATAAATAAAGCATAAGCGAACGTCCTATGATTATCAGCCAATATCCACAATAAATGTGAAATGTTCAGAAATGACAGTTTGATGGAATGAAAATACAAAGGGCCATATTTCACGATGACAGTATGCTAATTTAAAAAAAAAAAAATGAAAGAACTTATTTCAGGGCGGGAATAAATTGTCAGAAATGTGTGCTTGGGGTTATTGTAGAATGTAGATAATCAGCAGTTATATCACAAGTAGATGTGTGATAGTTGTGTATGTATTTCCACAGGCTTTGGCTGTGCGTTGGCTAAACAAATGTTGGCACACTACATGGCTCGTGTTAAATGTAAGTAGATAAATTTAGATTGTAGGCTGCTAATATACGGGCAGTGACAGACTGTTTGTAACCAAAAAAGGTGGCTAAAAAAAAAAAAAACTTCAGTACTCAACAAACACTTATAAACGGCGAAACATGAGCCTATATTTTCAATAAGCAGAAAGCAATGTGAAATTATCTACCTCTTCTTATTTTACTCGTAAAGAAATGTTCACAGCATTATTCTCTCCGCCTCCACCCTCCAACACACAGTTGTTGTTTTTTTAACCTCCCTAAGATTCATAAAAACTTGCAAAGAATGTTTATTTAAACTCAGTGACAAGCAATCGATATTCTAATCCTAGTTTGGAAAAGACATACATGTTCACTTCTGTATTTCTCCTGACCCACTTCCCACTTTTTTTCTTTTGCCACGTCACCCCCCCCCCCCCCTCACTTTTTTCTTCTGCCACCCCAGCAACCCCCACCCCCCTTTACCGACCTCACTCCCGACCCCAAAGGAGCATCGATAGCCAACCAGCGCCAAGTCGTCCTTTCCGCTGATTACACCTACAGCTCACAACATGTCCTACCCATCTTCTTCAGCTCTAATTCTAAACAATTGGACCAAACAAAAACAGGTTAATGCAAAGCTGCGCATGCATCTAAGCGGTACAGTAACTATCAGATGTGCCGAAAGCCAGGCTTATCTTCAGGATGACAGCATAAGGTTAAAACACTTCAAGCATAAGTCTCCCTTGACAAAGCAAATCACCCTGCGACAACGTACAGTTTCTAGAACATACCCTGTGGCAATGTACTGATATTCAGAACAATCTACAAATCTAGCAGGCTACAACAAGTGACAACGGGCAGCACTAGATAGACTCGAACCTCTACGCTACTCACAATGCCGGGGAGTCATGCGGGGTGCCCTGCCTGGAAGGGGTTCCGGAGGCGAATGCACGTGTCTTGCTGCTGTCACTTTTACTCTTTTTCTTGCTTAGGCGACCTAGGCTCATGCTTCGCTTCAGTGAGCCCATCAGGGAGGAGCTATGTATGCAAATGAAGTGGGCGGGATTTGTTAATTAAACAGAAAAGAACAAAATACAATTATAAATAATAATCAATGCAGTCAACACAAGCAAATCATAAACAAGTGACTGAGGAAGCAAAAACGTCAATGCGATAATTACTATTTATATGGGGTTTGATACATTGCATACACATGTCAACTTGCAACTTTAGTCTACAGTTGTTATGCTGTTATATGTGTTATAAATCATATAGGGGTTTGATACATTGCACACACATGTCAACTTGCAACATTAGTCTACAGTTGTTATGCTGTTAAAAGTGTTATAAATCATATGGGGGTTTGATACATTACACACATGTCAACTTGCAACGTTAGTTGTGATGTTGTTATAAGTGTTATCGTTTTTAAAAAAGAAAGCAACCAAAAAGGATCTTTACAAGTGAAACTCTTGTTTAAAGAGAAAACTGACACCAAACCAACAAACACAATTAACAACTTTAAAAAAAAAAACCACACAACTAAACAGGGTAACCTTCACTTGCCAACACTGTGCAAGCTGCGAGTCACCTGCTTGACACTGTTGTTATAATTTAGTGAATGACCAATCATCATCATCATCAGGTGCCTTGCCGACTGGTGTGGGCGATCATGCCTCCCCATAATCCACGATCTCCTGCAGCCTGCATCAGTTCGTGTGCCGACACAACCTCCATGCCATGCAACAAGACTGTCAAGCATCTTCTCTCGTTGTCTTCCTCTATCCCTCCTTCCACAGATCTTTCCAGTGGTCACAACATATTCCATTTTGCCTCTTCTCATAACATGGCCGAAAAATGAGAAGAGGGAATGACCAATAAATGTAATAATATATGTGAAATGTATTTAAATCTCCCCCCCCCCCCCCCCCTTTTTTTTAAACTAATGCTGTTTACATTTAGAGAGGCCGCCTAGCCCACATGCAAATTTTCCAAAGTCATGAGGTGGTGGCTCATTCACACCCCCCCCCCCTCTTTTTCAATTAATATGAAAAAAAAAAGGGGGGGGGGGGGGGAGGTTACATTTTGTGTGGGACGGGGAAGGCTGGTCCTGTAGGTGCCTCAGCGCACGCCCACTGGTGCCTATGGTTGCATATTCGTGTTTATCGAACCAGCAGTTCGTGGGCGTCTTGTCCCACTCTAAATACCTGGTTGATATAGTTTCCCTTTTCTCACTACAGTTTGCAATTAATTTATCACGTCAGATTTCAAATATGTGTTTGTTCATATACGCGATACTTCAACCACACACAACCACAGTCTATTTGATGACTTATTTATATAAACATTTACAACGCTCAAAGGAGATGTGTCGGGAATCTCCGCTACTTTTAGTATCTACTATTTAGGGAAAGCTTTATGACCGAACACAAGGCAGATGCACCTTGTTTCTGCCACTGCACCAGTTCTAATGTGCACGGGGTCGGTATCTCTAGTTCTACTGGCTCAAGATTTAAGTGTACAACTATCCTTATAAAGCGCACCTGGCACTTCATGCGGCGTGTAGATAAATGGATGTATAAGGAATTATTGTCTACCCGACTGGATGATGAAGGAGTCAATCAGGTTACACACGTTATGTACAGCCAATGAATGGCAAGCAAAACAGATAATGCTTATTTTACAGAATGCATTGGTAATAGAATATATAAGTGATAAATTACAATCACTTTTAGCACGATACAAATCGGCTAACAGAAGAAACCTCAAGCTGTGGGTATGAGACTATACATGTGCTAACATGGTGTCCATGTCCATTGAAAGTACAGCATTTATATTATAGTGAGAAAAATAATAATAGTAAGTACAATAACGGCTAATGCAATAGTCAGGATACATCCACTGTGTGGGGTCGTTGGCCTAATTTAGGGAAAAGTTCCCAGTTTATAACACTTCTTCTTCTTCTTCTGCGTTCGACATCAGTCATGCTAAACATTGAATCCCGTCTGGGTCAGAAATAGGATTGTGCGTTTAAGGTCGCCACCGGTCACCCATAGCTTCTCTCGCAATGTGGATCCCCTGGGCCAGATCCACGGTCTTTGCCGGGAGAGGTAAGGTCAGAACTGTAGTATGTGCTCAGGGGTCTGTCTTTCTGCTCCACAATCACAGGCAGCAGATTCTTTTATGCCTATCTTGTACAGGTATGCTCGAAGACCACAGTGTCCTGTCCAAAGTCTAAAAGTTTATGTTTGTTCTTTCCTGTTGAGTTTGTTTATGCTGTCACTCCCTGGTCTGTAATCTCCGTTCTGCCTTCTCCGCTCCCGCTTGAAAGACTGCTTTAGCGCTGTTTTGGTTTCCTTGTAGCTATATGGATGAGGTGTTTATAACACTGATCAGTTAGTTCTATTCACCAAGACTTTTTTTTTTTTTTTGTTGCACATGTCAAGGCTGAGCTTATTAAGGAGATGTCCAAATACTAAACAACGTCCTGGGGCTAGGTTGGTTGGGACATTAATCCTGCAACTACTTAAGTCTGAACCCGATAACACTGTGTTGGTGTGCGATGAAACCGCTACGTTGTACGACTGATATCAACAGCGCGGCTCGACTGCGACAGAACAAACGTTCACAAGCCAACCTGTGTCCTCAGCTGCCTGCTGTATCAATACTTTAAACGGATCAATTATGTTACAGTTCACCTGTCAGTTCACCTGTCAGGTCACCTGTCAGTTCACCTGTCAGGTCACCTGTCAGTTCACCTGTCAGGTCACCTGTCAGGCCACCTGTCAGGCCACGACGTCCAGTTTATATGAGCTCTCAAGATAAATGCAACACCAGATCCAATCCTGCACTCTAACACTGTCCATTTACAAGTATTTGTGTACTAGGTAGTTGGTATTTACTTGAAACTAAGACGGAATACTCTATATTTTAATAATCTAACAAACGTCAAAGCAAATTTACTTCATTTCTGTACCCAGCTTTCTAGTGATGTCATGTTAACTTCAACGTCATTTCCTAGTATATGTTTTATTTCTGGTCATTCTTCAATGACGTAGATTTGTTGCCGCAAACGGCGTTTGTTTATTTGTTCGTTTCCTGTAAAGTTGAATTACGCTCAGAATCATATTTTCAACAGGCTGACAATGATTTGATATTAAACTAATCATCTCCTTGTCGGATGCAATTTGTCGTTATTTTGAAGCCCCACCCTGGCTCTTGCCAGGTGCCACAATATAGTCCCGCCATAAATATGGTCTGAAACGTCTCCACGGGTTATCTTCATCCGCATGGTGGCACTCTGTGTAATCGGGTGTTTATCGCTTGTGTGACGTCTTGGTGGGTAAAAATTTACTACTAATACTAAATGGTCTGATCATAAATCACTCATGTCCTATTAACATATCCCTTCTGACAGGCACTGAAACAGGAAACAAACGGACTGAGAAACGAGGACGCCCAAAACTTACAGTGTATGACCAACTGAAGACAGAGGCCAAAGATGCTGGTCTAGTTTCCATCCATGAAAGTAAAACAATAGCACAGGTAACGACCGGCTACTGTATGAGGCATACACGTTTTAACTGGACGATGCGGATGATAATGATGGTTATAATAACGCATAGATCCGTAAGAAAGCAAAGCCAATGACGGATCAGAAACTAACAGCCAAGTCTGACCTAACCATTAGACAAAAGAAAGATCAAGAAACAACCAGCCGAAGGCAAAATGGGAAATTAATGTGCCAAGGGAGAGAACACATGCTAAATAGTTACTTCAAAAAATTATGCTAACTGAAATTGATACGAGTTAACGTTCTTACCTTGGAATGGGTGTGGTTACACATGTGTAACAAATTAATATGGGACATGAAAAATAACACTGCCTGCCAACGGTTACTCATTATGCTAGGTAAAAACAGTTACATAAACCACACACGTAACAGTTACTGGAGGACTCACAGATACAATAATGAATCAAATCACTCAGTATTAGACACAGAACGCCTCACAGTCATCAAACTCACATGAACTTTGCCCACACGATGACAATCAAATACAGGTGTAACAGTACCACAACACAACACAGTGTGTACATGTGTCATATGGTGCAGCATGCTGGTCTGTGTGAATGTTGTGAACTATACTGTTGTATGATTACAGGCGACTACACATCGCAAGTCCCGGTTCAACCTCTGATTGTGCAGATATACCCCGGGTGTTTCTGTAATATACAGTACACTGTTGTGGTTCGGTATCTGACCTGCTGATTGCCTTAGCACTTTGACTGATTTGAGCCTATACAGCAATTTGAACTCTAAATCTTGCAGACAATATCTGTATTTCAGAGAATGGGATTCCTTCTTGAGCTTTATTATATGTTGATTACACTCTGTAGTAATGCACCTGACGAGATACAGCAAAACATGGCAGGCAATACACCGTACAATGTATTGTTTGTGTCCCCATTATTTGGATATAAGGAATTATTAAACGCCACTTTTGATGGTATTGTAATTGTTCTTATAATCTTCAGATGGTATCGTAATTGTTGTTATAATCTTTAGATGGTATCGTAATTGTTGTTATAATCTTTAGTTGGTATCGTAATTGTTGCTAAAATCTTTAGATGGTATCGTAATTGTTGTTATAATCTTTAGATGGTATTGTAATTGTTGCTATAATCTTTAGTTGGTATCGTAATTGTCGCTATAATCTTTAGATGGTATCGTAATTGTTGTTATAATCTTTAGATGGTATTGTAACTTCTGACAGACTATTAACAGGGCATTGGAATCTGTGACAAGCTATTTCCCGGATTTGTGACTGTTTAAATGGCAATGGGGTGTGTGACAGACTTTATAAGATAGAACCATGACTGTTGTTAGACTGATGTACACAGAACTATGACTTTTGAGAGCTAGTTGCAACTGTGATTGTTGATACAATGTTTAGACGGTACTGTAATGTTTGTGAAGAGAAACTGTGATTGTTGATACAATGTTTAGACGGTACTGTAATGTTTGTGAAGAGAAACTG